AAGGGAAATTAGGGTTAATTTTTTTATATTCCTTTTGTATAATTTTCCCGTCGGAGCTAGTTTGTAAGGTGGAAAATCGTAGCTCAATTTTAATTTTTTAACTTGGAAAATGCAGGAACTTTCTTACCCACAACTGTATGGCAGATTTCACATTAAAATTGTATTTTCGTGTATTTTCTTAATAAAAAAGGTATATTGTTTTGGATCTCTAAGTATGGGTGGGCCAAATTTGACATTTTTGCGAGATTCTTATGTCCCGAGAAGATATAAAAGACGAAGTTAACGAGTAAATGCCACGATGCAGATTTAAAAAAAAAAATTGAATAGAGGAAACTGTATCTTGAAACACTAGTCGTTTTTCGTTTCTTAATTTTGGCCGTTTCCTAGGATGCCCTATAACATTTTGTTCGTGAAAATATTAAACTTTTAGAAAGGTTTTTTGTGATTTTTTTGCATAGAATCTAGTGACGACGGGAAATGATTTTAAAACTTTTTCACAAAATATACAGGGTGTTCCTAAATAAGTGTCACAACGGAAAACTTTAAATTCCTCTTGAAAAGAGAAACATAGGTTTCCTCTTTTAATTGTCGGTGTTGCGAGAAACAACTACTTCAAAGGTTATATGTATATGCCCATACCAGCAAGTATAATTCAATGCTGGTAGGGGCACATAGCCATCGGAGTAGTTGTTTCTCGCAACACTGACAATTAAAACATTGTCTTCGCCCTTTGTACGTGGCAGTCGTACAGGTCGCTTCCTACTGTAGCCATTTCAATGGCACAGTTGGGAGGTAGATCGAAAGATGGAGCCATTTGCGTTCCCGCGTACAATAGGTTTCCTCTTCCGCTTTCCTCTCCGGGCTTTCGTTTTCGAGATACACGGGGTCAAAACTTTTTATCCCCACTTGATTATATTTCTTATGGGGTCACATGAAGAGCGTTGTCTATGAAACCCCTGTCAATACGGTCGAGAACTGACCGCTAGGGTTGAAGCCACAGCGGAACAAATTAGAAATACCCATCAAATTATGAACAACGTTCATAGAAACACGGTCTGACGATGTAATGCGTGCATTTAAGCCAACGGACATAATTTTGAACATTTTGTAAATTTTAGTTGTTAAAGTGATAAAAAATTATTTTTAAGTTAAAATCCTATCTGTTGCTAAATTTCGTTAAAATTGTAAATTATTACTACCTATTTCTTGAATTATAAAACTTTCGAAACGTTAGCAAAATGTTTGATTTTGTTCATAAAAAGCCATTTTTATTTACAGTTTTCCGTTGCGACACTTATTTAGGAACACCCTGTATATTTTTTAAATGAACATCCAATATATCTTCCAATATTTAAAATATGCATTTAAAATTTCCTTTCTAGTTAAAATTGTGCACATTTTACACAAAAAATTTTGTGTGTAGATATAAAGCATAACACGTCATTTGAAACGAAGTTTAAAAGGATATAAAACTGAAGAACTAAAAGTTATAGAAAAATATCGCGTATGCCAGTGGATTGTACGTAAAAAACTGTGTAAAAAAAGTATATACAAAAATTTAGAGGGACGTTGAATAAATTCTCGCTGTTTTCCAGCAGACGACGTTACCAGAACTGCAAGATGCTAACACAGCCGAAGCATGCAGAATTCTTGTCGAGACTTACGACGACCACACTCTGTTGCAAACAACATGCAGAAATTGACGTTGCAAAAATAATGATTTTTTTGATGTTGAAGATAAAATACGTTCTGGCGTACTAAAACAGTTCGAAGATGAAGAAGTGGAGGCCTTACTGCATGAAAACTTACGTCAGATGCTAGTTGATCTTGTAAAATCGTTAGAAGTTGATCATATCACAGGTTTGAAACATTTGAAAGCAGCTATACAACCAGAGAGTGATTTCACAGCATGAAAATGCTTAAATGGAAGTCCTACCCCATCTGCCATATTGCCCCTTCCGTTGGCCTAGCTAAAAAATGGGTCGACTCTTGGATAGCCTCAAGTGTTGTTTTTTCGACGAGGAATTAAAACGTTGCCAGAAAGATGGGAAGAAGTAGTGGCTAGCGATGGACAATACCTTCAGTGTCATGTTTTTTACAATTTTATTTAAAATCACCGTTAATGTTCACAAAAAACAGCAAGAACTTATAAAACTTTGTGATATTTTCTAAAAAATGATCAAAATTGGAAAAAGATCAGTTTTCCTGAAACAAAAATCAAGATACGGTTTTGCGCCAATCAACTTTTCTTGAAAATTGTACTCAACAAAACAATTTTTTTTTCCTATCATGCCGGCAAATAGGAGAAACCCCTCAAAAGCGTCGAATTTAGCTCACTCTGTCCAACCACTGTAGTGGAAATCAAAAACTTTGCAAAACTTTTGTAATAGCACAACATATTTAATAAAATACAAAAAAAAATGTCAACGAGACCTGCTGTAAAATTGCGGGTAAAACGATATTTTTAAGAGGGTTTATACAGGGTATAGCAAAAGTACCGGAACAGCAGAATAACTCGGCGGGAGAGCATTTTAGAGAAAAAATGTTTCAGGATTTCTCCATGGCTATCTGACAGTGACCTTGACATTGACCTTGAAGATCGCTTCAAGGTCAAATGTGATTTTTCAAATGAAACCCTATACTTTTGACCCCAGAAATGAAAACAGCACTCAGAAATGACCTTGAGTGACCCCTCCCTTTTGACCTTGGGGCCTCCACAAGGGCAAACTAACAAAAGTACAGGAACGGCAGAATAATTCGGCGGGAGAGCATTTTAGAGAAAAATGTTAAATACAAAAGTTACAGGATTTCTCTCTGGCTATCCAATGGTGACCTTGACGATCATTTCAAGGTCAAATGTGATTTTTCAAATGGGACCCTATACTTTTGACCCCAGAAATGGAGAGCGGAAAATTTTACGTTCAGATATGACCTTGAGTGACCCCTCCCTTTTGACCTTGGGGCCCCCACAAGGTCAAATTAACAAAAGTACAGGAACAGCAGAATAACTCGGCGGGAGAGCATTTTAGAGAAAAATGTTAAATACAAAATTCAGGATTTCTCCCTGGCTATCCCATGGTGACCTTGACATTAACATTGAGGATCATTTCAAGGTTAAATGTGATTTTTCAAGTTGGACCCTGGACTTTTGACTCCAAAAATGAAATGAGCGGAGAATTTTACGTTCAGATATAACCTTGAGTGACCCCTTCCTTTTGACTTTGGGGCTCCCACAAGGTAACAGAAGTACCGGAATGGCAGAACAACTCGCCGGGAAAGCATTTTAGAGAAAAATGTTGACCTTGAAATGATCTTCAAGGCAAAGGTCAATGTCAAGGCCACCATAGCCAGGGAGAAATCCTGAAATTTTGTATTTAAATTTTTCGGTAAAAGGCTCTCCCGCCGACTTATTCTGCCATTCCGGTACTTTTGCTATACCCTGCACATTTTACTACACAGTTTGTCTAAATATGAATTAATGCACAAATAACGGACTTACCTCCATTCTAACACAGATTTTCTATGAAATGGAGTTAGATTGAAACTCAAATTACCCTTTGCTGTAAAGAAATTTGTAATTTGCCGCTTTTGAATAAGTAAATTACAAATGTCTTTACACCAAAAAGTAATTTGTGTTTCAAACTAACTCCATTCTATAGAAAATCTGCGTTAGAATGGAGGAAAGTCTGTTATTTGTGTAATTAATTCATATTTAGACAAAATGTGTAATAAAATCTATAAAAATGTATTGCTGGTTGGCTATTTGCTATAGAGCCCTCTTAAGACTTTAAACGTAGCATAATAGCATGCTTTAAATCATGCTCCTCAATAACGTTGAGAAGAAAATTTAAAAAATCCGTAAAATTTCCAAGGAACATAAAAAAATTTACTACCAACTTAGCTAAATATTACCGTTCCGACCTTACCATCCACAGTCAATTAAGGGTTGTACCATTACTCACGAGTCGCCCTGTACAGACTTAATTTCCCTACCGCATCCTGACATTTCCACTTTAACTACTAATTTATTTACAAAAAGAAAGCTCCGTTTCCAAATTCGTTTGTTACGAGCTGAAATTCGTTATTTACATCAATCTTCCGCCGAGCCGATGCGCCGATCGCGACGGACCCCATCATTTTTTGAGACACACCGTGCGACGAAATGGTCGGACAAAAAAAATAAACACAGAAATCGACTACCTGCATTGTACACGAAATCAAACTAAATCCCATCTCGGCAACGCCGATAACATGGGTCTGCCCTTCTTTTTGATCTTAACTTATCCTGGAGAGATCAATAAAAGTACAACACTAAACTTAAGTTATGAAAAAAAAAATAATAATAAAGAGGTCGACGAAAGTCCCTCGATAGGAACCAACTGTGGTCATTTATATCACAATTCTGTTTACGTTTCGGCGGTACAGTGAGCCCGCTCCGGTTTTCGCACGCAAAAATATTCCAAACAATCCGCGGTTGGGGGTTGGGGGGTGGCAATGGGGGTAATATTTTGCCGTTTATCAAAAAGGGGCGCGACATCGAGGAGATATGTGCGTTTACATCTCCTCGTGAATGAGGCGTTTCGTCTCCCATTCGGTCTTCAACACGTCCGATTTTTCGCGGAACTCATTTGTTTCTCGTGCGCACCCAGGTGTTTTTTTGACATTCCGCAAACGGACGAAACGCCCCGTAGACAACCAAAGGTTCTGTTTCTTTCTCTGACAGGTAATTTGAATCGACGCCAAATAAAAATTTACCCAAAACGACAAACGCCGGGAGGCGGGCGTTTGCAAGCAATTACATCGCAGAAAAGACCTGTGTTTAAAAAGTTACGTACGGTACGTTGAGGTAGTTACGTTGATCACCTTCCATACACCCTCGGGTGTTCGCCGTCCACGAAAAAAAAATTGTATTTTCGACACAATTCAAAACACAAACGAACAAAGCCTTCGGAACCGGAAATTCCGTCCAACGTTTTCAAAATTTTAAATTCCCGCTTCCGAAGGACTTCTTCGCAAAAAAAATCACGCGTGTTAATTTTCGCTCCGCAGAAAATAAAACCGCAAACTTCTCCAAAGACAAATGAGAGCCACTCTCAATTTTTTTTTGTTTGTTTTTCCAAGAACAAAATAAGTTAGAAGTCCAGACTCACTGCACCATAACAAAACTTATTACAAAGTAAGGTTACATAACAAAAAGAAAAAAAAAAAACGTTAAGACGCCTACATACTAAAAACAGCACTCTTTGAGGGTCTCTTGAACACATTAAAGCAGTCAATTCAGTTCGGTTGGTTTCACAAACTTCAGCTTTGCTTGACGCGTTTCCTGGGGGGGCCTATGGGGGGTATCTGTTGGGTGGCTAGGGCGCGGAATGCCTCTGCTATCAGGTGGGGGTGCGTCTGGATCATGGACTTCCAGCCAGGGGTGTCCATCACGTCCGTGGCATGGCTGGAGTAGAAAAAACAAATTAAAAAAAAAAAATTATATGAAACGAACAATTTTCCTTTGCAAAATTTAAAACTAAATAAATATTAGAGTTATAGTTAGACTTTTAAAATGCACTTTAATACTTGTGTACGCCACCACTGTAATCATGTATTACAAATAGATGGATTGTAGGCAACCTACAGTACGTGTGAAGGAAGATAGTGTGGGTCGACGGAGACAAAGCGAAAGGCATCAGTTGTTGTTTCACATTTTGAGACGTTTAACAACAGACTATTTTTGTGTATTTCATTCATCATTATTGATTACTGCTTCAGTTTTTTGCTAGGTTACTTCTTAAGTACTGTTTGTGTGGCGAATACCCACTCAACAAAGCAACTCGCGGCAAATGGTGTGGAATTGTGCAAGCGCTGCGACTAAAGCGGTTACGCTACCTTCTTCAGTGGCGGGGTGCAAAATTGACAAGAAAAAGGTTAAAAAAACCAGTTTTTACGAGGAAATTTGAAAAAATAAATTATTGTTGCGTGTTTCTAAAGGTCAAAGGAAGCCTGTGCATAAATATGAGCAAATTTGGTAAAAAAAAGATAGCTTAACTGTAACAAAATTTGTGGCATATTAAAAAAAAAAAGTAAATTTTGGGGTAAATCTGTTAATATCGAATTTTCGAGAGCGTTGCAGGAACTTGTAACACTATTTTGATAAGTAGAATTATCTGATAATTTCCAATCCAACTGTAAATTTGAATGTATTTCTTCGCTGGAAGCCATCAACAAACTATTTATTTTTGTGCATTTCATTTACTATTATTGATTACTGCTTGAGTTTTTTGCTAGGTTACTTGTTAACCACTGTTTGTCTGGCAAACACCGACTTAACAAAAGTAATTTGCAGCGAATACGATGGAATTGTACATGTGCTGCGACTAAAGTGGTTAAACTAGCTTCTTCAGCAGTGGGGTACGAATTTTACAAAAGGTTTAAAAATAAGTGATTGCCCGTTTTTTCACAATTCACAGAGAAATAAAGAAAATAGATAAAAATATGTTTTTGGTCTCAAATTACTCGTAATTACTGAAATAAGCATGTTGAATTAGAAAATCCACCCTGAAGCGCGTTCAGGGGGTGGAATCATTCCTAAAAATAGAGAATATCAGAAATAATTGTAAAAATTCCAAAAAGAAATATATATATTAAGTTAATTCACATGCTAATAGTTTTTATATCAATTGGACAATTGGTAATATTCAAATTCTTCATTTTTAGCAATTTTTCAACCCCTAAGTAGGGGTGATTTTTAACATTTTCATACTAAACGCTATGCTCATTTCAGTTATTTACAAGTAATATGCGACCAAAAACACACGTTTATGTATTTTTTTTAATTCTCTGCGAATTGTGAAAAAACGGGCGAAAATCACAGGTTTTTTGCACACTCTTTAGTTTATATGACGGAATTTGAAAAAATTAACTATTGATATGTATTTCTAAAGGTCAAAGGTAGCCAATTGACCCCTACTCAAAGTTACGCCCTGTATATGTCATATTTTAAATGTACTCAATGCCTCTGTATAATATTTTATGCAGGATGTTTAAACTGGAGGATTTTTAATGGTAGACAGGATGCATTCATAATAAACATTGTCAATATTCAAAATATTTAAAACTTATTGGGAACTTCTGGAACCATCCCCTACTCACGTACTACATGAAAAAAGGTGAATAGTTATAGCCGTACACGTGTCAATCACTTGTTTTGCCCTATTTCTGAATTAAACAGAAAAATTGCTGGGTAATCGTCATCATAGTTTTAATACAGAAACATATTTATTGGGAAAATTATTAATGAACAAATATTTGCAGTACGTCAGCGGTTCTGAAAAAGTTTTTATCATGTCAATGTGTCAATCAAAGTATTTCTGCCAATCGAATTTTCTCCATTTAAAATTACCTTTAAAAATTTTAAAGACCACTTATATTCATTATCAATTGAAAATCAAGTCAATAAACATTAAAAATTATAAAATATGCTATTTTTTTAATTTACTGAGATTACTGTGAGCGTTTCTAATAATTTTGTTCCTCCACAATTATTTTTTTTCTTTTGGGAGATAACCTTACACTCCTCTTATTTTGGATAAATCTATTACTGTCAACCAATGTATTTAAACCTTTGTAATTACTTTTAATAGAATGCGGACCTAACTTTTCAAAATTATCACGTTGACCAACATGCACGCCGCCATTAAATTAGCACAACGCAAACATTTACTTTATTAAATGGCAAAAAACAAAGTTATCTCTCCATTGCCGCAAATAATAAATTTGCAACGTGCCCGCTATCAAAACTCAACAGATATCACGGCCAAGGCGACCTTATCTTTACGCTTCCATAAATCCTCCATTTTTACAACCCAAATTTAAATTGATCGGCATTAAATAAAAAAAAACAGTGCGTCACGGAACAGCGCTAATTACGCAAAGTAATAAATATTTTACGGCGCGTAATTGCACACAAGCTTGCAGTTCCCTCGAATTTACGATGTGGCTTCTCGAACAAAGGATATTACTTTATCGGACGGGGTCATAATCACAGACGACCCAGAGTTGTAATTAAAAAAAATTAAAGAAAGGAAACGGGCGATTAATACGCATAATAAAGGAACCAAAACATAATTAAGGCGTCGAAAAAGTCTTAACGAGAACCTGATTTATTTCAGAGGTAATTACTGGACGATAAAGCCCGGCGGATTGCAAAATCGATACGTTATTAATCACATCGCCCGCTAATTTATGTAAAATTGCAACATGCAATTTATCTTGACCTTCACGATTCCTAAAACGAAATTAGCATGTTTTTTTTCGTCCGTTATCTAATCTCGGCATAGATATAATAAATAAACAGATGACGTTCTCGGTTTCATCTTTTCATGTAGCTGGTGTAACCACAACACACAACAGATTGGAGTTCGATTTGAAGAAAAAGTATTTTGTTTGTAACTGATCACGCAAACCTTGAACAAGACGTAGAGTGAGAATGAAATCAATGTCTATTTAATTGCTGCGCGTTAGAAAGCATTCACAGGCCACAATAAGATTAGAATTTTGAGGTCTCAGTGTGCGAGTGAAAATATACCACACTTTCACTTCAGATTTCGTAACTGCCCACAATACAGGACGTCTCTGATCGATTGGAACAGATTTCATTTCCCTCAATTCCTCGAGGTCTCCCAAAAAATAAAAAAAAAGTGAACGATAATTTAAATTTTGAGCAAAAAAATTTTAGGGGTGATGCTTTAGTCATATAAAAATGGTACAAGCTCATATACACTTTCATAATTTTTTTTAATCGGTAGAAAAATGACCAGAAATCATTAAATTAATATCAATTAGGAAACTTTTTCAAAAAGATCTTGTTCCAAATCGATAAGTTATCATTATTGACAAAAAAGCATTTAAAAGTTTTACGATCACATTTTTCAGTGAAATATTTAGAGTAAGGGGTTTCCTTCACCAGTTTTTTAATAAGCGATATTGACAGAAATAATGACTCTATGAAGACTAGCACTGAACTTCACCAGCAATATCAGCTGGGATAAATTTGTCAGCCAAACACACCGGACATATACCGGTTTGAGACTTATACCGATAGGTGTGACAATCGATGAACAATCCAGCTACCTAGATTCCTTCGATATAGGAAACGACTAAGTACAAACAAAAGATATAACTGAGAGCTACATCTAGTAGCCAATGCTACCAACTGTTTAAGACCTGCAAAGCCGAAAAAAAATGTCAGAAAGCCACCTTTATCGTAGATTTAGCTCTCATTTACGTCTTTTATTTGGATTTTCATGGATTTAGAGAATCTAAGGATCCGGATCGTCTGAAGGTTGTCGCACCTAAGGCCTACTGATGAGGGTTAACAAATCCGAAACTGGTATATGTCTGACGAGTTCGACTGACGAGTGATCCTACATGTATTTAATAATATTGCTGATAGCGTAGTTGTTCCCAGCTATATAATCACTTAAAACTTTGCTTTCGTCATCACAGGGGTGACACTGGTCATGTTTTCGTAATATGTGTTATACAGGTCGCTTTCTGTCATTTTTTGGACTCTTTGTGGGTCTCAAGCAGAGTTGGTAGCATTGGGCACTAGACGTAGCCCTCAGTTACATGTTTTATTTGATTTTTTAATAATCGTTTTTCGTTAATATTAATTTGTATCAATAGCAACAGTTTTAGTGGGATAAGTTCAATAATAAGTTAAAAAAAGACAATTTTTAATTTGTTTCCCACGTTTCGATGTTGTATACCATCTTCAGGGCTCTAAATTTAATGTGTCTTTTATTAAAACTACAATTATGAACATTCAGACGATAATAACTAAATATTCTTTGTATTATTCAGCTAAAATATTGAAATATTTAATAATATAAACTTGCGTGAGAAAAACATATCCGTTATCTTCAAAATGTACTAAATTTTAAATTTAACAATACACACTAAATTTTGGGCACTGAAGATGGTGTAAAATATCACCGAAACGTTGCAATGAGTTAAAAATTGTTTTTTTTTTCTAAATTAGTGTTGATCTTTATCCCAATGAATCACTATTAAAAAAAAATTTACATAATTTTAGAGAAATCTCAAACCAATCAATTTTCTCAGTAATAAGGAGCTTTTACGTCATACGAATCTGAAATTCTTTTTTTTTTTAATCAAATAGTCGAGTTTTAATTTTTTAAAATGTACTTTAATACTTGTGTACGCTGCCACTCTTAATATCCATGTATTACAAATACATGAATTGTAGGCAACCTACAGTGCGTGCGAAGGGAGATAATGTGGGTCAACGATGACAAAGCGAAGGGAGGCAGTTGTTCCCCATTTGGAGACAGTACATCCAACTGTGAATGTAAATGTTTTTTGTCGCTTGAAGTCATCAACAGACTATTTATTTTTGTTTATTTCATTTATAATTATCGATTACTGCTTCAGTTTTTTGCTAGGTTACTTGGCGAACACCCACGCAACAAAAGTAACTCAGTGAATGGAGTGGAATTGTGCATGCGATGCGACTAAAGCGGTTACGCTAGCTTCTTCAGTGGCGGGGTACAAAAATTTCAAAAAAAAAGGTTAAAAAAAATTAAGTTTTGTCGGAATTTGAAAAAATAAATTATTGATACGTGTTTCTAAAGGTCAAAGAAAGCCTCTGCATAAATATGAGTAAATTTGAAAAAAAATAGCTGAACTGTAATAAAAGCTGTGACATATTAAAGTAAATTTGGGGTAACTGTTAATATCGAGTTCTCGAAAGTGTTGCAGGAACTTGTACAATTATTTTTATAAACAGAATTACCCAATAATTTTTTTTCTAAATTTCCAAAATTAAATAATTAATTGTAAGGAAAAAACTCTCAAATTAAATAAGGAAAGACCACAGAGCTAAAAGTCCAACTAAACAAGATGACACGAATAAAAACAACTCAGAATCGGCCCCAATATAGCTCCTTGCGGCACCTCCGAAGGTATTTTCAATTCTCCCGTTTCTGGCCGATGTATAACAATTTTTTTAAATAATCAGGTAAAAGAAACATAAAAATAAACGATTTCGACTTACGTGTTTATAAAATCTATGGCCTGCGCCTTGAGCTGATCGGCGCTGTGCAAGTCAGCCAGGATGAGGATCTCCGCAGCGTTATCTATCGATAAATTTGTACATAGAGCCTCCTCGCACATCACCTTCAGCCTCTCCAGAGCGTACTAAAAGGAAAAATTGAAAAATTAGATACGGAACCTACGGGTACGATAATATCGAACGTACCTTATCAGCGGCGGCCAACAAGTCGTCAGCCATTTTCTCCAGGTTCGACGCCTTCCCCGTGTAGATAAACCTCAGCATCTCTCGTAATACTTCGTGGTCCACGTCCGTTATGTCTACCCTATTGTGCTTCCTCTCCTCCATTTCGTGCTCGAACATGGCTTGGAATACTGGACTTCGTGCTAAAAAAAATACATACAAATTAAATGTGCCGCAATAGCAAAAGTTGGTACGGCTCAAAAAATTCCCCTACACCCCGCTACAAATTAATATATATTCAAAAAAAAAGTAAGTTTCGGAATAATTTCTGGAAATTAACTAAACTTTTGCTGGTTAAATTAAAACTATTCAAAAATTGTGCAAAAATTACTGATTTTTTTTCAATATTGTTGTAATTTATCAAAAACTACTTGTTTTGGGAAGAAGTACAAACGTCGCCACCTGTTCACCAAATTTGTTGTGCCCCCTTACGCCATTCTCAAAAAAAAGCCTGCTATAGGTAGTGGGATTCCGTTACGATTTGTAACACAATCATAGATAAATATTTACTTGTCGGGTGTTAGAAAATCCTCGATATTGAAGAAAATATGTTGTTAAACCTGGCAATTACTGTTAAATATCGCTAGAAACAATTTTTTCAACTCGTAATTATAAAAAAATACCATTCTATTTTTGGAACATTACCTAAGATCTTTTATCAATTGTTAAGATTAAGCGACTTAAATTGAAACATTTCGCACAAGGTTAACGTAAACACCAGTCTAAAAAAAATTACAAATATCACTTCTATGCCCCTAAATAACTACTCACTCAAAACTGTTTCACGTCATATTTTTTTACAAATAACATGTGTATTGTGTAAGCCAACAAAGTTTAAATAACGGTACCTACCTGCAAGTATTGCTTTGTGAGCCTGAAACTCTCTCCCTGCCACTGACAGCGTTACGTCGCTAAACTTTTGATTTTCGAAGAGGAGACCTAAATCGTCAGACAACCGACACTCGGGGACCTTAAACTGTATCGTGTTCGACTGTCCTGAAATATTTACACTATCTGCGACGACACTAACCTATAAATACACAAAACTTAATAATACTATCGCTATTAGGAATAAAGCGAAAATACTGTACCTCACAAAATATCGTTAGTTTGTCGTCTGGAAGAAGTCCATTGGCTTCGTCTAACAAGAAGTCCCTCCTAATGAATTTCTTAAAGCCCCAATCTTTTCCCTGGACAAATCTGTACGCCCTTTGGCTCTCCATCGCTTTCGTTTCCTCGCGTTTTGCATTTAATATACTAAATTTAAATTTGGCTCTAACTTCACTTTTATTGCACGACACTAATAACAAATACAACGAGAGATAGTCTTTGCTTTCCTCGTCTAATCCTTTTGGGTTCACTCTTAAACACCTAGAATTAAAATCAATTGAAATCGTTTTAGAAAATGACAAAATTATTTTGCGCAACATAACCTCAAATATTCAAAGTTGACTTACCATTTTAATTTGTCATTGGCTCCTGCCGAAAAAGTGGAGGATTTCAAAACTTCACCCATTTCTTCCCGGCAAAAACTAAAGTTGTTTATAGTCCACATGTAACTGAATTTGACTACTTTAACCTGCAAAAGACATAATGTTAAAGCATCAATTTAAATTTCGACGGTTTTGCATACTTTTTTGCGCATGAATAGATAACCGCCTGTAATTGAATAGTTCGAGTACGTGCTAAGAAACGATTTGAATCTTTCCATGATATCAACAATTTAGATAATAAATTCTATAAAATGCACTTAAACTAGTTGTTGAACCCAAAACTACAAGTCAAAATTTTACTGAAGCGTCATTTTATTCTTGCCACATAGCATTTGTTTCCCATTTCAAGGGTAAGCTGATCCATTTAAACCTGTACATGCAAAACTCGCGAAAAAATAAAGTGGTTCGAACAGTATTAAACTATCCGATAAACACTTAACTAAAGTATTGGATATCATGGGAAACATGTATACACGTGGACACGCAATATTTATAATTTTCTTGACCTTATCATGTGCAAATTGCTGGATTTAAAAATATACGTAACCATAAAAAATAAATCAAACAAACACTTACTGAAGTTATCAGACATTTTTTTTTCGTTTCGTCGATCTGGAACGGTTTGGAACATTGAAAACGACCGTACAAATACGTTAATAAATATTAGGATCACAGATCTGTTTTTATTTGTTAAATAAAGCTAACACCAGCTTATGTTTGCGCGTAATAATAATGTAAATATGATTAGAATTAAAATAAAAGTGCAGGAATTAAATTAATTACTAAAATTAGAATTATGCGTTATTTCAAGAGTGTTTACTTTTTCAAATATTCTGTTTTTTTACGTGTCTTTTAATTTATTTATTTTATTGGAAAACAAAGATCTATTGACAAGAACATATAAATGGAATAAAGGACATCTAAAAATCAGTTTTTCAGTGGATTTTGGACAGATACTTTAAATTGCAAATTTAGTTTTTCGGGCACGAGTTGGACCATTTTGAATGATTTTTTGATGGCCGGTTAGCGACCTGTGGATGGAAAATACTGGCAACACTTTTACATATTTACTTTTACGATAAAATCCTGTTTACTACTATTACACGTGATCAATCACGACCGACCCCTCTGTACCATGAGAACAGAATAAATACGGAAATATTTAAGATTTAGAGAGAACGAAGGTAGGCAAATCTTGAAATCTCATAAAGAAATCGCTTGCACAATGCGCCACTTTCGACTCTCGTAGAAAATTTAAAAAAAAGGGGTCATCCTACGAGCTTGCGCGACGCGGTGAAAGCCGCGAGTCAAACAATGGGTTTTAGGGTCCCACCAAGGACGAGCCGGGCAAGGATGGCTGGCTTTTCGTAACTCTCGCTCTTCGATGCAACGATCCGCTTGTGGACGACCTCATTCGCAAATCTCGGGAAGTTAGGACGGTGGGTCTTCAACCTACAGAAGGTTTCAATTCTTTACTATCGAAATGCTGGGCTGGGGGCTGCCTGCCTTCGGATTCGAATTTATAAACGAACAAAGTAAGGATACCTGCGCCAGGAGCGTAGCTGCAGGGGCATCGGCAGGGTACCGTTGCTCTTTATGTCCTGGGAGAAAATCGTTAAAAAACCCTGATATAGACATTTATCACACGCTAGATAATTTGTTTCCGGTTTTAGATACTGGTAGCGTTATTCCTCGTCACCATCACAAAATCCTGTACAGGTTGAAGAGCAACAGGTTTTTTTTTATTTTCATATCTGAGGTTCTGAAGATTAACTTACAACTTTTAATTATTATTATTACACCGCCAATCCTTTGGAAGACGTCCCTAGTACAGTCATTGAAGCAAAAAATCAGCTGAAACCTCCGAATTCTGTGAAATCCATGCAGGATTTGCATGAAAATTTAGAATAAGGCTCATCTTAGGCTCAAGTTCAAAAGTGACATAAGCCCGATTGGCGATTTCTGTTTTTTTTTTTAGTGTTAAAAACTACACCTAAGTGAAAAAAATGAAAAAATTAAGTTTTAAGCATTTTATTGATACAAATCTTGTTCAAGCACAAAGATTAAATAATGTTCCATGTTTTCGAACATGTTTTATGACATATTTGATCTTTTCGACCCTTTATTAAACTCTTAAAAACTACCCCTATGCAAAAATTTATAAAAAATTACTTTTTAAAGATTTGGAATGATTAAATCGTGCAATTATTTAAAATAAAAGTTACCATATAGCTAATAAAAGAATTTTTCCCTTTCAACCCCTAAAAACCACCCCTGGATTTGACAAAAATGATAAAAAATTACGTTTTAAAAGCTTGGAATGCTTTAACGGTACAATTATTTGAAATAAAAATTCCCTCATTACTTATGAAAGAATTTGTATCTCGTAACACATTTCAACCCTTATAAATCACCCCTGTGCTAAAATAATGATAAAAAATTACGTTTTAAATCTTCGAATGCTATAATTGTGCAATAATTTAAAATAAAAATTCCCTTATATTGTTTATGAAATAATATGCCATTCTTTCCAGCGTTATTTTTGAAAAAAAAAAAAATCACCTCCGAGAAGGGGTGCGAACCCCCAAAACAGGGTGGAAGCGTCAATCGGCGCAATGTCACTAATGTTCATTGACCTTTTCTCTAACTATCTGCCAAATTTCAAGTCGATCGGTTCAGTTTCAAAGAATTCAGAGGTGAAAAGCTCAATCACTGTACTACTTATTTCGTCAACATTTAAACAATGCACTCTCACTTTTACAGACAGAAATCGCATAAAAAATCAAAATCTTCCATTTCCCTTAGTTATAAACAGGTTGCTCATCAAAATAAATACTCACTGGCAACACAAGATCTTAATACAGCTACGGACAAAAAAAGGTTTCCGATGTACTTACAACCTTTAAAGGGCTTAAAGAACGAAACTAATAAAACCCTGTTTTACAAAGGATCTACTGGTATACTTAAATCGAGACCGAACCATTCGATTTTGACCGTTAGTTATAACTACACCAATTCAGATGTAGTGCTTCAATCAACACAAACTGCTACTATCGCGTTTTTATTAAATTGTATATAAGAATGTCGGCCAAGGATTTTTCCTAATGGACAAATTATCGGATGCACCGAAATTTTTATTTTAGGGACGCTATTTTTAAAGCGAGGTTTGTATAAGCGGCAAAAAATTTATAGTGATGTAAACAGTGAAAATTCTTGTTTAAAATATACCTGCGGTTTTTTTGCAACGCTTAAAAATACTGCGATTTATATTTTTAAATCATTCCGAGGGTCAAACGGTATAACAAAAGTTTATTTTGAATACAATATGGGTTACCTTCAAATAGAAATCAATTGTTATACTTCTATTCTAGGGTATTAGCAAAAATTAGTTATTTTTTATTCTAGGTTGGGAAGCAAGTATTGCTTTTGTATATAATAGTTTTAAAAAGGGAGCACAATTTTTGAGGTTTATAGCAGGAATATTATATCATTCAATCAGGCTTCTATACAAGACTACGCTAATGAACAGTGTCTATTAATTATTTTATAGTAATAATAATTTAATAGTGTCTCTAATGATGTTTTTTTTTCAGATTATTTCAGCAAAGGGTATATCCGGGGCTTGTAGAAGAAAATATCTGCTAAATATGACAGTAGAAGATACAGAAGACAAAAGTCATTAAAATTCTTGGATAGCAAGACACATACTCAGAGGAAATTTGTCATTTCAGATGTATTTTATATCACATTAAGTATATCAAATTTTAAAATGTGAAAAAATATCCAAAAAATATCCTTAAATTCTGTTATTTACATTAAATATATAGTCTGGCTCTCACACCGTATACCTACTATTCTACCATTAACCTAAACAGTTAAATTAATTTCCAATTACCTATTACATTTATCAAAAATCAAAATAACAATAAAATAATTGTTTCAATATCTCGTCGATTCCATCTGCGCAGCATGATTTTAATTTTAGAACACCCTGTATAAGATGGCAAGTTTATTATGTGTAAGTCTCGTATTTTGGCCACAATATTCCCGTGCCGTATACAGGGTAGGAAAGTACCGATGGTCTATCTGAAGTTACGTGAGAGCGATAAAGTAAGCCATGGAAATCCATGTGATAGAGAAGGATGGGTATAGTGAAGGCGTCTAATAGTTACCGCCCATTTCGCCCTTCCACAAATAAGAAGTGGATCTTATTTGTCCTTCTCTATCGCATGGATTTCTATGGCTTACTTTATCGCTCTCACATAACTTCAGATAGACCATAGGTACTTTCCTACCCTGTATAGCGTGAATAACTCTGTACAGAGACGAACAATTTCTTAATTTAGAAGTTCAAAAAACGGTAGAAATATTATACAAGGAATTTAAAATGGTATTTTCGGAAACATACAAATTGTTTTGTTTAGTTCCAACAATTCCCGCAACAAGTGTCTCGGAAGAAAGAAACTTTTCGTGTCTTAAGCGCATTAAGACTTCCTTAAAAAAATACGCTGACACAAGAACGCTTAATACTTTCCAAATGGTAAAATAATCATTACAGGCGTTATAAGTTTTGAATAACTTATTTATTATTTTGTAACACAGAGATGCAAAGTATTATTTCCTTTTGATTTTGTTGAGCTATGTTTACGTATTTCTTATAGTTTGCGGGATAGTCGAGAGTTCCTTGTGGAAATTTAAAAAGTAAAATTTACTTTTCGTCTCCCATTACAATCCAACATATGCAAAATCCGAAATGGTAAACTTTCAAAAAGACTGTACCCGAAATTGTCGGTTGTGTTGATGGGAATTTTAAGAGGCGAAGCTTAAACATCTTTCCCGGTTTTGGTTTTCAAAATTAATTCTTGCATTATGCAACTTTTATTTGAAATATTTCTCTGCATTGTTAAACTGATATTTATTTTTGTTTTTGTAGTATTCTTGATCAATTTTTTCAATGCCCACATCGTTTTTTTAAGTTTGTAAATATTTGTTATCCTTCAACTTAAGCGAATCGCATGAAAGAAAAATATCCATGTCTTTATTACGGCCGTGCACGAGCTGCCCCAAAAACACAGTTGCCTAGTTT